CCCTCTGGAGGGTAAATCAAAACCTCTGTCTGCATCACTCATCATCAACTCACACTGTAAAAAGCCGTCTCTCCTACCCTGGACATTCCCTGAAGCCAAAGCATAAGTGAAATGCCATCAGAGAAAATACTAACAAACTCTGAGGGATATTCACCCCATTCTAGAATTCAGATTGCCTCTTAACCAAAATGCTCTGTGAACAGAAGTGAATTTCGTTGATCCAGTTCCGGCTTTAGACGCAGGTGGCATTCTCGTTCTAAGGCATGGCATCAAGAGCTCTGCACAAAAGCAGTCGATGCTACTGATTTACACAAACTCCAACTCTTCTCACAAATGCTAGTGGGGAGAAACATATCTGTTTTGTTTCATTTCCAGGTGGCAAGACAATCAAAATGCTGGTAAAAGGAAAACAGGGCAAGTGAGGGCAACTTAAGACAAAGAAGACTGGACATATGGTAGGTTTCAGGCTCCTGACAGCCCTAAGATAGGTTTTATTCTTCCTGTTGCGAGTGGCTTCCATGTTGTGTTGTGACCACCTCAAATGGATTTGTTTGATCGGAGGAGGATGTCTGAATTCTAAGGGACTTCAGAGGACTTGATATAAAGTTCAGACAGAACTTGATAAAGGTTCTGTCTGCTTTGAGGTGGGGCCTGGGCTACTCCTACATCTTTATTCCTCTGCAGGGGCCCCAGGGTTTAGTGAAGGAAGAATTCACCTGAGCTGGGCGGGGGGCTTAACCCTTCCGAGCCTTAGTTTCAACATCTGCAGAAGAATGTTGGAATGGGATTGTTCTGAGGATTCAGCAGGAAAAATACATTTAAAGCAGGTAGCTTTGTGCCAGGCACTTAGCGAATGTTTAAGGAATAGGAGCTGTAGCTCTTATAGTTATTTTAGACTTCTGAATTCATCTAATATAACCATCACCATATTACACTGAAGGAAATTAAAAGCCAAGATGTGGTCCCTTGTTCCAGGTCACACAGCTCCTTGGTAAGGGGCCGAGCTGGGTTACCATCCCAGTTCTCCCTACCCTGTGCTGTCTTTTTTACTGTACCCCACGGACTCTCAGGACTCATTAGCTCAGCTGAGCTCTTCAGTATATCATAGTTCTCAAGCTTTCCACCTTTGCCCTCTGCAGTCAAGTCTCCACCCTCAACATTCACTTAATCCCTAAACCATGTTTATGTGACCTCTAGGATATCCTGCAAAAATGCCTCCTGCTTTCCTGCCTCCTGGCTAATGCAGCTGCTATTCTGTCCAGAAGATTCTCCCCTCCTCTGTATCCATCACTGACTCCTTCAAGCTTGAGAGCTCAAGTCTCTCATGTCATCTGCAGAGAGAACTTGCCTGAGCATCCTGGCTGAAGTCATATCACCTCCCCACTTTCTCTTGCTCTTCAGTTTATGTCCTGTGGAAACGCTTCTCCCACTGGGTAATTTTCTTTCATTTTTAATTGCCTGTCTCCTTTACTAAATGTAAGCTCCCAAAAGGGCCGAGAACACACCTTTCTGGCCTATTGCTGTGTCCCTAGCACCTAGCACAGCACATGACACATAGGTGCTCAGTAAACAGAAGTTGAGTAAATGAATGAATGAATTCCAGAACCAGCATATTTGTTAACACTTGCAGAGGACAGAGGAAAGCGTTGTCATTTTCTGTGGGAGGAACATGGGTACCTGCTTGCCCCTCTTCTTGGCCTCCTAAAAGAACAGCAAGTGGCTACCCACAAGACAGGGACCCTTCCAAACAGGCATCCCACGCAAAAGCACATCTTGCAGTCAAGGGAAATGGGCAGATAGTTGCTAATTGCGTCTTCCAACTGGGCTGATCTTTCAAAAGTTCGAAAGGCGCCTGCCTCCATAAATCCCGGGCTGCTACTGCTGCTGAAGCTGGTGAGGGAGGAGAGGAGGGTGCGCTTGGGCGCCTCTCGGGCTGGCACGAAGAAGCCACATCTCATCCTCCCTCCTCCCCCCAGCTCCTCTCCAAGAGAGGAAGCAATGCAGATGGAGACGAGAAATAAATATTCCTGCCTGCTCCGTGCCACTGCAGACGTTTTCCAAAATGTCTGGCTTGGACCATGAAACAAGCCCACCCAGGAAAGGAGGCGCTCAGCGGGAGAAAGAGGGGGAAAGGGTGGCATATTTGTCGATACTCGTCAGCTTTCTGGGGGGCAGAGCACATGGCTCATCCTTGGCAGCCCTGCTGAGGTGGGGACGTGGTAAGTGCACAGTAATACTTGAAGAATTGAATCAGAAACGGGAGCGGAGTTAAGGAACTCATGCCAGAGCGTCGGCACTATCTCTGTGCCTCTGCACAGGGTCCTAGGACTCACAGCTGGTTCTTTCACAGGTTTCAAGCTCTTTGCACAATATACCTGCTGCCTCTGCTCAACCCTTTTACTTCCACTCGACTCCTGGGGAATTAACACAATTGGGCTGATGGAAGCCTTCAAAGGCCATTTGGAATTTGGGCAGGAACTCAGAATCCATGTGTGGAGATATTCCTGCCACCTATAAACACGGTTCACTTTCTCTAATACTGGAATACTGGCAGGAGATGAGAACACGGGCTGCAAATGATAAGTGGGTGCTTTTGGTCTGGGGTGGCCAAGTGTGTGGGAGAAGTGTCACTAAGGAGGGAAGTTACAGGCCCAGCAACAGGCACCGAAGTGTTCTGCATTCCGCTGCCTTTGCTAGGCATGCTGTGAGGCTGCAAAATGTCTCTGAAAAGGGAGATGAGGGGATGGGAATTTCGATTTGAACACTTCTGCATCGGATGCTCTGGGTGTCCTGTCTCTAACCCTCCTGTGAGACTCCCTGATGCCCTCTTCTTGATATCACTGCCCCTGGACCACCTTCCCATAGTCCTCTTGGTAGGCCAGTAATTAGGGTGGGGCCCTTGGTGGATTGAATTCTGCTCAGTAAAGGGCAGAGGAGCTTTCCTGGGTTTTACAGGTTCAAGTCCAATGCAACAAAAACAGCTGCTCAAAATGAAGATGCAAAGAAAGCAATGTCTTCTGTGGGTGTCAGGGAAACATTTTTCAGAAATGTTGCATTGAATTCTGTTTCTTTTCACCATTTCCAGGACTTCACTGAGGAATGAAACGTTGTCTAATATTTCCCACTCATGTGCCCTGAATCCTTCTTTATGAATCTTCCCCTCTCATTTGCCCGTCTGCCTTCCAGTGCCAGGCAATTGCCAGCTGAATCCCACTCTCTCCAGGAAGCCACTCAGTGGTGGGGGAAAGCTGGCAGGACACAATGGTTCCTGTCCCCACTCCGCCCATTGCTGTGTGACCTTAGACAAATCACTCCCCTCTCTGGGCCTTGGCTGCTTTGTTTGTCAAAGGATTGGGTTGGATAGGTTTCCTTTCAGCTGTGACATATTATAGGAGGTTCTATAGAGTGAAATTGGATGGAATTCCTACTGTCGTTATCCCCTTCCCACCTCACCTTCTCCAGTAAAGCTCCAGGGATGGGGGCCATCACACCTCTGGGATTGAATTCAATCCTTATACCTGGGAAGGTCAGAACTGCATAGCAGAAGAACCTGTTTTAAATGTTTTCTGTCTGTATTTCCCTTAGTTCCCAAAAATATTAATGTATGGGTTGGGGAAAGATCAAAGTAGGGTCTGTTTGGAAAGAAGTTGTGTGCATGTATGTTTGCATTTTATAATACTCATATTAGTTACTTTTAAAAAATAATAGTTGCCATTTATTGAAATCTATTATGAGCTAGGCCTATGCTAAGCTCTTTCACCTACATTACTATCTTCATGATAGCTCATTAGGGAAGATATTATCTGTCCCGCACTCCCTTACAAATGAGAAAACTGAGGTTCCGAGGGGATGAGACACTTGCTAAAGATCACACAGCTGTTAACATTGGCAATGGGATTCGAGCCTGGCTCTGTTGGATTCCAAGGACGATAATGTGCTATCCACTACCCTGTGCTGGGCCTTGTCTTGGCATTCAATCACTATCTGGGAGATTCTTCATACAATGAGGCTGTTTTAAAGACCCATAGGCAGTGGGTCCTAAATTGATTCCCTTTCCTATGGTGGTATCAGAGGAAAACAGCTAGTCTCAGAGCCAGCAGGAACCTGCTGTCAGAAATGGCAGGGAGCATGCAGCTGTGGTGCCTGCCTAGCATCGGGAAGAGTGGGAGAACTGGGCCCCTGAAGCAGCCCATTTATAGCAACCATCTCCACTGATCATTTATCCGTAGAAAATAAGGCTGGTTTCCGTCCAGCCTTAGCTACCTCATTTCCATGCCCTTGCCCAATTCTGGCACAGAATCAGAGCCTCTTGGAATTTGCAAATAATGAGATCATATGTCCCAGAAATTGTAAACTTAAATGGCTCCCAAGCCCAGGTAGGTATGTGAATGAGTGAAATAGCCAGGAGGGAGTTATAGCAAACTGTAAACACATGTCCAGTCTAAGACCCCCAAGACACAGCTCCAGCAGACTTGCTGTGCACCTAGCGTGCTAAGCAGGCACCCCCAGAAATACAGAATTTTCTGTGAATTCTCCTGATTTTTAAACGTAGGCAATTCAGTTAAGAAGAACGTACTTGACACAGTCAGGACCATATAGAACATATCTGCAGGCCTGAGTGCAGGTCTTCATTTACAAACTCTAAAATTAATTTTTCTCATTTACAGATGAGGAAACGGTGGCCCACATTAAGTCATTTGCCAGAGCTAGCTAAGGTAGGCTTAGGTAGGCAACTCTTCGGAGGCATACATATTGAAAAGTGTGTGTGTGTTCATAAAAATACACACCTATTGTACATTTACAAATGATATAGAAATGATGTTGGATTACCTGCTGTTATGAAATGTTTGGCTTTTCACATAGTGTTAATATTATACAATAGTTGACGGTAATTAACACACACACCGGTCCCAAAACAAAACGACACAACATAACTCCTCTCCCAAATCAAAACCAAAAATTAAAACAAAAGCCAGGAAAGAAAGAAGCTCTTTACTTACGGTAAATGACAGAAACGAAGAAAACAAAGTCCCTTCATCATATCTGGATAATTTTGCCAGCACTCCTTCCAAGATAGTAACGAACTAGAAAAACAGCAAAAAGAAAAAAATGTTATTTCAAACTATAATTGTTCACCATAAAGCACATCATTTCCCAACCACATAAAGGCTGGGATCGAGCCCTCCGTTCATTTCTGCAGTCTATTATTTGATTCCCGCCTTCGGAGAAAGGAATAGACTGCCTTTACATAGAAATATTTGACTTATCCGGCTTTCTCTTCATTATTATGTGATTGCAAATATAGAGTGTTACAGAAGTGCAAAGTGACAAAATATTATTGAGTTGCATATAGCATGCGATAATATTAAATGCACTTTTTAAAATCCAAAACTGCGCAAAGCAGTTTCTACGTTACATATTAGCACTACATTTAATCCAATCTATTTTTATTTGTATTTTATCAGTAATTTGGGGGAAACAGAAGTTTAGCACTGGCAAATATAAATGTCTTCCCATTCAGCATTACTTAGTTAAAATTCTATAATTCATGAGGGTGACTGAAATAGCTTTATCTGACTTTTATGTTTTATTATGACTCTCACTGCATGTGAAACTAGAGGAAAAGGGGTTTTCATGATGGCAGAATTCCTTATTACCGTTTAACTTTCTGTATTTAAAAATCTAACTTTGTCAGTGCTGAAAAACAAAACAAACATTTCCTGTATAACCTAGCGCGACGTTTGGGGACAAATTCTTATTAAGTTAACATATGCCACTTCATCAATTTATCTTCACACGGCTCGAGATCATCGGAAAATCATTTAGAGCTGAGGCTGGGTGACGTACAATCTTGTTTCCTGAGAGACGCAAGTATCCAGCTCAACTTTTTAACGTGTTACATTTTAATGGAAACGGAGACATAACAAAGCAGTGTTCACAATGAAACATTTCACCTGAAGCTGGAGGTTACCTTTGCAACCAAGAGTGTTATCATTTCTTTAACAGTTTCTTCAATTAGTTCGTCTATTTTTGAATGGTATTGATGCTAAGAACACAGAAAGACAAATATTAGCATGTTTGGGAGGTGATGGCATTGCATCCGTCAGTAATTTTTAGACAACATAATTTATAAATACAGCCTGGCCTGCAGACCCAGTTTATTTCCTTAGTCCCAGAAATATCTGTAAGATCCTGACTCCATTTCTTTGATGGAGAGAAATCCGAAGCTCTTAAAAATATTACCAAGTTCATTGTTCCTCACTTAAGGCTTTCGATGCCTCTAATGTGTGTAGACACATAAACAGTTTTACAAATAGCACACATGAATGACTTAATGACCCAGCAGTGTGTTGATTTGGATCTTACAAAGCAAGATACTGTAATAATTTAACACAGGAGATTAAAAATTATCTTTGGAAAACTGCTGGGGTTTGTGGCTTAGGTAGTAGATTCCCTTTCCAAAGGGAATTTGATGAAGACACTGTGACTAATTTTGTAAAACCTGTTCTGAAACCCTCAGGTTCTTTGGCTTAATACCTCAGAACTCCTCGTTTTATCTCCAAGTCCTGACTCAGTGTAAAGGCAAAGTGTCTCTTTCTGAACCCTTGTAGCAAGCCACTCGTTTTCTCCATTCATGGATAAGCAGACCCAGTATTCGAGCTTACCCTGAGACCACTGCTAAGTTTTAAAATTTCTCTAACTGTGCCTGTCAATTACATTTAAACAGGAATGTGAAAACAAACCCCCACACAAATAAAAATCCGCTGTAAATGCCAGGGAAAAAGGAAAAGTGATTTCAACACAAAATATTATATGCCAGCTCCTTGACATTTATTAGATCATTTTAGTATCCATTTGAATTATCCCATATTTCCTTGACAAAAAATAACAATGCAAAACATTGTTATTTGAAAAGGAAAATGCACTTACCCATGTTTTAGCAAACTTTCAGAAGGATGATTAATTAGGAACAGAAAAAAAAGGATCAGTGCAAATAAAAATTAGGACAAAAGGACACATGAGAAAGTAAAAATTAAATAAAATATTCAAAAGTCTATGTAAACATACGGATACAAGCCATAGTAATGTGGTTTAATATTCTGATAACTGGCAATCGGAATTATTGAGAGTGAGCAAAGGGATGCGAATTAGGTAAATCCATTTAGAATCATAGGTAAGGTTTGTTTGTAATTGGAAGACCTGGATAAAGTGTCAGTGCAAAGTTGGGAAGTCATGTTACCTATGAAAATTTAACTCAGTTTCCTTATCTGTAAAAAAACAAACAAAAGAGATAATAATACTATCATCCTGGGCCAATGAGAAGGGAGAAACCAGTATGAAACTCTAATTTTGAAACGGAAACAAAGCCAACCCTGTATAAAGATTTTTAGTGGGTCTATGCTAATATTATTATTTTAAAAACCAGTGCCCGAGCCCTTTCCTGGCAGTCATGCTTTCAGACTCATAAGTCTCTGTTTTGGAGATCAAGTGAGAGTCTAGACGTGAAAATATTTTGTCAACTGTCATTGTGATTCAAATATTATTAGTTATTCAAGTTCATCAAGTAGAAGATAAGGGTAGAGAGAGAGAGTCTTATCACTTAGTCATCTTCTCCAGTTTCATTTTAATTGATTAGAGGAAAAACAATACAACAAATGGCTTGTATGTTGTAGTCCCATTGAATCAGAACCCACGTTGGCTATACTGCTAGATTCAAAAAGGAATTTACTCCTAAGTGGCATAAACCTGAAGCTAAATGCAAAAAAAATTATCTGCAGAATTCTTTGCTAGAAACACAAAGAAAGATGTCAGAGCAAAAGAATTCAGGAAAATTGACAGGGCTCCAAATTCATTTTTAGGTCTTGAGATAAGATCCAGAATCACATGCTTACTTTTCCTTCTCTTGTGACTGCCTCACTCGTCTAGGTTTTCTTTGCATTGCTATACATGATTCACATTTATTAATTATGGGAATAAACTAAATCAGAAAAGCTAGCCGTGTGCAAAATAATATGAAATACAAAATGAGGGCCTTCTACCCCAAGCAAAGAAGAACATCATTGAGAAACAAAACACTCTCTTGAAAAACTGGGCTGAAGTGGCAAATAGAGACAAGAGTAATTGTTCTCCACACATCAACAAAGATTTAGGGTCTTACTCTGAGGAGTTAATGATGTCATTCTTTCTCCCAAGAGAAATAAGGTTTCTCTTCAGGAGCTAGGAACCTCAAACTCTTTCATAAGGAGACATGGTTGAGACACTGTGGCTTATGGAAATATGATGGTTTATGGAAACCTCTTCCCAGTTCAATTCTTCCATGCCAAACTTGGCCTTAATGTTTTCTCCAGGCAGTCCCACTATCTCTCCCTTTCACTCCATACAAATATTACCATCTCCATTCCTCTTCTGTTATAATGAACATTTCTTTTTTTCTGCTTATAAAACAAAGTATTTTGATATGATTATTCTGTCTCTCCCTTCCAGGGGAAACTTTAGCATGTCAATCTCTGTTGGTCTATTTCCTCATTTTTGCAGTGGGGCTAGAATTATAACTTGTGAATACAGACATCAGATTCATCTAACCAAATAATGAAACAATGCATGGAAATGTGGTATAGAAACTGAGAAGTGCTATGTGGCAGTATTACTACTACTACTATTATTAATAGATTAACATGGTGGTTGCATGTGTATATACATTTCTCTAAACTCACCTAAAATCTCTATATTTTATTGTATGTAAATTATGCCTCAATTTAAATAAAATCTTCTTTGGGGAAGATAGCAGAGCAGGGTAATAATTACTCTGTTTATCATGTAGCAAAGAGGTAAATATCAAAGCAGCCCCTATTCCTATTCAAGTTATTACAGAATACGTGAATCCCTTTTGCCAGTTTTCCATGATACATGAGACTTACTGGATTAACTTGCTTTTCTGGAGCAATAGTGAGAACTCTGCTTTCACTCCTTGATCTTTCTTGGGCGATATATTGTTCTGTGCAGATGTGAAGCTCCGTGAAGTGGTATATATACCACTGGGGCATCTTTCAATTACCAAACATTCCTACTAGACAATGTTGTTATAAAATCTCTTGCAGTCTGATTGACTATCCAGATATGGTACAAAGAGGGAGCTTTACCATTTTCCAGTCCTCTCTGCTGCCCACACCCCCAATTTTTTTTTTTTTTTTTTTGAGATGGAGTCTCGCTCTGTCACCAGGCTGGAGTGCAGTGGCACTTGGCTCACTGCAACCTCCACCTCCCAGGTTCAAGCAATTCTCCTGCCTCAGCCTCCCAAGTAGCTAGGACTACAGTTGTGCACCACCACACCCAGCTAATTTTTTTGTATTTTGAGTAGAGACGGGGTTTCACCATGTTGGCCAAGATGGTCTCGATCTCTTGACCTCATGATCTGCCCGCCTGGGCCTCCCAAAGTGTTAGGATTACAGGTGTAAGCCACCATGCCTGGCCTCTGCTGGCCTTCTTGGATTAACTTGCCCTATATGCCTAAATTATATCCTGAGGGAACTACTAATATTCAATGGCCTGGAAAGTTTGGTCAGTTCACTTTTGCTTCTGATGGGCTGAGTTGCAAATTCACAATTACTGTGTGAAAATCATTCCACTTGACTTCCTGTGCTACACATTTTGCCTTGTCATAGAACAGATTGTGTGTATGTTGTCTTTCTGTTAAGACCATCTGACCTTGGAAATGAGATGAAAACACACTAGACCAAGTGAGAAACTATTTAATACACAATTTCCCTTCTATTGGTACTTCACAAATTTTAATGAAAAAAATAAATATTTAAGATGGAAAACTATGCTTAACAAATGTTTCAGCAGCTGCCTTTAGATGTGATATTACCCAATGATGAAATCCAGGATGTGATCTTAAAATTGGAGATTTCATCACCTGGCCAGTATCTAATCTAAAGCAGGTTGAGGGAGTTGGGACCCAGGTGGAGGCTGGTATTAGTAGCTAGGTCTACAATATGGGCTTCATATCCCATACTCAGAAATGCAGACTACATAAAACATTGGACTTTCGTCTATTCTTATCCCAGTTCCAGGATGTTTCCAGATATTCTTGTTAAATCTCATTTTAGCAACTCAGCTTTACTTTGGAGATGAATATTCCCATTCTACAAAGTGAGAAAAATCAAGGAGGAAACATTTCCATATGACTTTCCATTGAAGTTCTGATTAAGGTTACAGCCACTGTGCTAGGCCACTTAGAAGAAGTACATATTTACAGACAATTAAGTCAAGCTAGCTTTATTCTCACCTGTTCTCAACCACTTGGCATTCAAAGAAGCAGCCCCATTTCCCACAGCTGGTCATTTAAGTGTCTCTGATTCAATTATACCAAGGAAAAATGTCACAATAGCTCTCTCTAGGATGGCTTGGGAAAAAACCAACAGCCTTACAATAAGAATGACAGACTAGGATGCATTATTTAGATGGGCCCTTAATAAAGATATTTAGTCTAGATGTGTGTGTGGTGTGTGTGTGTGTGTGTGTGTGTGTGTGTACGTGCACGCGCTATTTTGGGAGAAACAAGAAATGTTTACAAGCCTCAGTTATTTGTTTTCATTAAAAAAATTATGTTGAGTCATATGGGGAGAATATGGGTAGTCTTTTCTACTTTATCAAATAGAACAATGTCTAGAAAGAAATAGACACTGCTGTTTCATGTCAAAAATGTTACTGCAAGTCCAAGACAACTTTCTGATTTTATATCCAGAATTAGGGGACTTTAATACCCAATTTTAACAAACTACATACTTCCCACAGGTTGTGTGTTGCATGCTATATTCTTCATTCAGCAAATGATGACACATTGTTTGGCAGCTAAGGTATGGAGTCCATAGGATGCCATGATTAAACCAAAAAACAACTTATTCTTCTATAAAACCAGACTCCCAGGTCAAGCTAAGGTCATTCTACCTTAGCCCAGAAGTGATTAGTGGTAAAGACAAAAGAAGGGTCCCCCATTGTGATAAAGGTCAACTTGTTCTTTCTCATCCTCTGTCTCCAACTGGGGTCTATGGTTTGGTCAAGGAGGTCCCCAGGTCCTCTGAAATTGGAGAGTAATAATATGTGAAAGTGTTTTTTTCCCCTGAGAAATTGCTCCATACCTTTTTTTGTATTCTCAGTGAAGTTTGTGACAGCAACTCTCCCACTCCCACTACTCTCCCTAAACCCCCACTTCAAAAAGAAAAAAGCCCAGATCAAAGTGACTTGGTTTGTTTGGCAGAATTGTTTTGCCATCTGACCAGGTATGTGGGAACTTTTGAAACATGGCTATTATTGAATCAAGCTGGAGAGGGACTGCAGAAGCTGCTGAGGAGAAGGCAAGACCAGTCTTGTTGTATCAACCTGCACCCTGGCCTATCGCCATCCTTAGAAAACTCAGTGAAAATGTTCATCTCAAGAAGACTTAAGGGGAAATAGATCAATTGGATTTCATTTAATTTAAAAGAAACGTGTTGTGTTTTAAAGGATCCCATCGAGAAGATGAAAAAGAAAACCCACAGGATGGGAGAAAATAGTTGCAAATCATATGTATGATAATGGTCTAGTATCCAGAACATATAAAGAACTCTTACAACTCAACAATAAAAAGACAAATAACCCAATTTTTCAAATTGGCAAAAGATTTTGAATAGGCATTTCTTTAAAGAAAATATGCAATGGTCAATAAATACATACAAAGATGCTAAACATCACTATGAATAAAAAACTACAAGAGGTACTTCATACACATATAGCTAGGATAGCTACAATAAAAAAAGACAGATAATGAATATTGGCTAAAATGCAGAGAAATCAGGTTTCTCATATAGTGCTGGTGGAAATGTAAAACGGTGCAGCCATTTTGAAAAACAGTTGGAAGTTCCTCAAAAAGCTAAACACAGAGTTACCATGTGACCCCACAACTCTGCTCCTAGGTATGTACCCAAGAGAGTTGAAAACACAGGTCCACATGAAAACTTGTACATGAATGTTCATAGCAGCATTAATCATAATAGAAACAACTCAAATGTCTATCAACTGACGAACGGATAAACAAAGTGTGGTATATCCATACAATGGAGTATATGACTCAGCCTTAACAAGGAGCGATCAATACAGGCTACAGCATGGATGAATCTTGAAAACATTATGCTGAATGAAAGAAGCCAGACACAAAAGGCCACATATTGTATGATTTTGTTTATAAGAAATGTTCAGAACAGGTAAATCCTTAGAGACAGAAAGTATTTTGGTGATTACCTAGGGCTGTGGAGAAGCGGAGGTGAGTGAGAATTAATGGGTACTCAGTTTTTCAGGTGATAAAAATGTCCTAAAATTGACTGTGGTGATGACTGTATAACTTTGTGAATAAACTAAAACTACTAAATGGCACATGTTGAACGGATGAATTTCATGGGTATGTGAATTATATCTCAAGTTTAAAAATAGTAGCTCCAAGGGGAGAAAAATTAAGGAGGAACAGGATTCTGGAAAATATGAACTCAAACGGATCTCAATGAACTTTTGAGATCACCAAAAACAGGGCCTTTAAAGTGGGCTCTATGAAGCCTAAGAGATTGTTTAAATATTCCAGAGCAGCTCAGGTGGGTGGTGGGCAGTGAAGAGGTACAGAGCAGAGGGCAACCTGGCAGCTTGGACTCTAGGCCCCCTCCTCCCCTCTCCATCCAGAGCAGCTGTACTTGTGTGTTACATGCTGGCCTTCTTGGTTTGGTTTGAAAAACAGATTGTGCCACTAAAAACAGCCTGAATAAAACTAGAATAGTGCTATGATTTTACAGATGAGGAAACTGAGGCCCAAAGAGGTTGAGTAATTTGTCAAACTCCAGCTTTCAGCTCAGCCAGGGGAAGAATCTAGGTTTCTGAACACCGAACCCAGGTCTTCCCCAAGGGGGCCATCTTTCCTACCTGAGTTCTTCCCCTGACGTCAGGTTTACATACTGAGTATCCAGATCAGTGGTTCTCATAGTGTGGTCTCTGGAGCAGCCAGCAGCATCAGCATCGCCAGGGAACTTGTCGGAAATGTCAATCCTTAGACCACACCCCAGACCTATCTGAAACTCTTGGGTGAGACTCACTGATCTGGGTGTTCAGATGCTCTCTGGATGAGTTTAATGTACACTGAAATATGAGAACCACTGCCCCAGATCATTCACACGAGCACATGATGCTGGGACAGAGAACCAAGTGCACCCTGAATTTGACTCCAGTGCCTAGAACATAACCCCCAGGGAAAGGTCCTCGACAAGAAAATCAGTCGGGAACAGAGTTAACCAGGGTGCGGGTGGGGGCTGAGGAAACTGACTTGTAGGGGAAACAAGGTTGAAGATGATCTTGCCAGGAAGAGAATACCACCAACCCACATTTAAAAATGGAAGGTGCCGAAAGAGAAAATAAATAACGAATAAGGAGCAAATATAATTTAGTAAAAATTCTGAACATGTAAGGCTGGTATCGAAAGATCTGATTTAGGAGCAATTTATGCCAATTGGCAACAACATAGAGTTGCCAGAAATGCTTCTGAATTAATTCTAAATTGGTATATGAATATCTAGCTGGCTTAAGGCCATCAGAGAAAAATGATCATGATAGTCTTTAATCAAGCCCAAGTTGCTGTTTCCTTCTCCTTTACATTTTAAATACTGCTTTGGAATTGCAAACTTAGCAAAGGACTAAACTTTTGGTCAGGAAAGATTCACGATCAATTCAGTCTAAGGAAAATTGAAAGTCTGCAAATTTTTTTTTTTTTTTGGAAATTCAAAACCTGCTGGCTGGGGATTGGGTAGCAGGGTGATCTAACATTATACATCCTGGAAGTTGTTTGATGCAAGAAAAGGCTCTCTTGCTGTCCAGATGTTCAAAGTGCTAAAATGCACTTCAAATGTGAAAATGACTTTCATTCTGGCAAACACAGATCTGTTGGAGACACCAGCCTAATAAATAAGGTCGTCAAACTTCATTTAGCTTAGAGGGAACTTTATGGCCACCCCAACTCCAGCCAAGAATCACTTCCAAGTGACTGACATTCTCATCAGCACATGCCTTAGAAATCTACTTGACAAACAGATACTGAACACTCATCCATGGCTTAATCCACAAATGTTAGAGTGTATTTCTGAAACTAGCAGACTAGGGTAGATGGAAGGAATTTGTGAAGTTTTCTTCTACATGATCAATGAAGAGGGAAAAAAAAATCTGTATTTTTTTTTTTTTTTTTTTTTTTTTACCTCTTGGCCCATTTCCATGCTGCAAAGTTTTGTTGATTGAGCTTTGGCATCAACCATAACATTAAACATGGTGCATATTGACTGTGGGACTCGAAAATCTGTTGATCGACTGGTTTTTTGCAGCTTAACTTCAAATGCAATCCTGGTTCTATTAAAACAAAGTAGGAAAAGACCAATTCAGCGTTCAGATGGCAGCAGGTGGAGGAGATATTTTCTGAGAGGTCAGTGAAAAAGAAAATTGAAGGCTGTAATCAGTTTCAGTCAACAATGACTTCACATGTGTTCCCTTTTAAATGACTTTCCCAACTAAGGAAGGCCTATTCATGGAGACAGCCATGCACACCCTTCTTTTCTCGGCAGTACACGGAACACCTGTAGCTTGGCGTATTTCTGTCTATAGTTTACATGCTATGGAGAACCTTAATTGCAGGAGAATGAATGAATTCACAAAAACTCGATTATAGCAGTATAGCATATGTAAGTTCTCTCACGTTGGCAACTGCCTACCTTGAATTACTTCATTAATAAAACAAAACAAACAAAAAACCGAAGCAGTTTTTAATTTTCAAAACCTCGTGGTGGAGAAAAAAATCTTAAATGACGTTTATTGCTGTGGGTTTTTATTTTCCCGTTTCTGGTTTTGAAAGAGACAAAAATTTAAAATCCAGCCAGTTTATTACATTGCTTTAAAGACTAAAAAATTTTTCTTCCTTGTTAAAGGACATGAAAAGGAAATACACCAAGCTGTTAAAGACGGCTACCTTTGAGGAGGGGTGTGAAATTAGGAGACGTGGTATTGGGGAACTTCCATCATATTTTGTTTTCAATGTCAATGCATTATTTTGCAATAAAATACATTATTTTATGATTTAAAATTATGCTTAATACACATATACAAATTCAAGAATTGTGTGATGATGGAATCTGAATGTAACATAATTCTGACATTGGTCAAATTATGATCTCAGCTATGTGCTAACAACTCATAGAAAAAGCCTAGCCCTACATGGCCAGCTGGTAATACAGGTGTGAGATCTTATCCTTGACATCAGCATTGTAAAAGGGGCCTAGTTATATTTTGAAAGGTTTCAGGGAAGTGAGTGATATCATCAAATGTCTTTAAAGAAAAGCACCTGGTTAGTAAATGGCTTTATTAAAGCCCCATTTGTCTGATGCATCTTTTTAGCATTGTTCGCTGTCAAGTTCTGGAGATCATACAGCCACCAGGAAAGCATTGCTTTAAGGGGAATTTGTAGCAGTTTTCTAACAGTGCATAGGAGGACCACACAGCTAGTTAGCTCAGGAAAGTATGCCAGCTTGCTAACACACCCTGAGTGCATGCAGGGAAGCCAAGTATAATTTCTAAGGTTGGGAGCCCAGTTCTTAAGAAAAAAAAAAACCTAAAAAACCCAAACCCTTAAAACACCCCTATATATTATATGATCATGTTAAAGATAAATGTATCTTGGCTTCTGAAGACTCAGTGCACTGAAGTAGCTTTCTAATCATGATGATCATTTTAAGCTACGCTGAAAATACATCATTTGCCGGTTTTGTGAAAAGGAGGCCTGATGAGGACTGAGTTGGACAGGTCCCTGTGCTGATCTTCTGAGGCTTGTGTGCCAGTTCCGGCCCAATTTGAGAAATGGAAATGCTAAATTGCTCCCTTCCAATGAAGTAATCGTCTTCAGTTTTCACAGGAGAACTGTTCATAGCCCTTGGAGTGCAGGGCTGTGAAAAGAGGAAGCTGAATGCAAAATTAATATGACTGAGAGGGCTCTATAGGACCAAAAAGCCAGAAAAAGAGAAGTCATTTAACTCAACTGACTGCTTGAGGGCAAAAGACAGCATGCCTTGTTTTGTGTTCAGCACAAGTAACCTGATATAGACCAGACTGGAGACTGCAAATGTCTGTCAAATTGATGAATTAAATTTCTGGAGCACTGAAACATGAGGAGTGCCTTATTGACTTTTTGGCATTGCATATTCATACCTACAAAATAATGTCCTTACTATGTTGGCCTAGAACAAGGGTTATAGAATCTGTTCTACTGAGGAAAACAATGGTTCTAGGCTCTTCTAATGTACATTCTATGTATTAAAACATCCAAGAATCCTCCATGCTCTGTCCTCTGAATCTGTAGGTCTGGGGATATTTCCACCCATTTTTGCTCTTGTCTGCTTTTGAGCTGATTTAAAAGGGACATTAGGAAATTTAAGTGTCCAGGCCAGCCATCCATGTGCAGTGGAGCAACTTCTGTCAGTAAAAGGTTGCTTAACAGCTACTGTGTGCCAAGCATGGTGCTGAGACCGGTGGAGGTGAGGAATGCCAAATGAACAAGATCCACTCGCTGGCTCTGTGCAGCTCACCCTCTTTAGGTGTCTGAACCATGAAGATATGATTACAGCATGGTAAGGGATAAGAGTCCCTATCCACCTGTGATATCCTCACATCTTTCCATTTTCTGTGAGCATCTTCCCATTTCTTGCTCCCTACCCAGGAGACTGGCTTCTCAGTGAAGGACACACATCTTTTTCTGTACAATTAAGTGCACAGTTTAGAAACTGATAAACCTCTACTGTAAAGCATTTCACCCCTAGGGCAGATCACTCAAAAAGTTTTTTATGGAATGGTTTGGCCATCGGAAAAACATTGCTTTTCCTAAAATTGATACAGACTATCTAGGAAATCATGGAATTCAAGACCCTAAGGAAATATTTTGACCTTGAGTTTGAGAAGTAAGCCTGCCTTCAGTTCTAAGAGTGAGAATAAAAGAACAATTCTAAAAAATCTGGATCACTACAACTTTAAGCTTCTGGAAGTGGCCTCAAACACCTGCCCAGATTCTCCATTAGTGCATAGTTCCTTTCTCAATTCCTGCTGAGACGCTGTTCACCTACCTGGGATTGTATTGTTCTTTTGCTTTTTTGGTTTCCAGTTCTGATGATATTACTTCACCTTTCCTCTTCCAAGATAGGAAATAATAAATTCAAAGAACTTCCAGGCAAACCCAGCCCCCAACACCCACAACTGATCCATCAACGAAGCTACACAACATCTGGAGATTTGGAGTAGCCTGTGCTGCTTGCGATCTATTTTTTTTTGAATGAGGAAAAATAATGGAACAGTTATGAACTAGAAAAGGAACTTGGATGTGTATCTGGGGGTAGACAGGGTGATGATGATGATGTCACATCAGTGGAATTTTATTTCTATATTTAATATAGAGACACTCCATGAGGAAAGGGATGCAGTCTCTCATTATTCATTGTATGCCAAGAACTTAGTCCTGTGCCTGGCATATGGGAGGAGCTCAAATGATGTTTGCTGAATGGACGAATACTGTCCTCATTTTTTTTCCTCACCTTCTCAGAACAGTCTGCCTGGGAACTTCAAGTGCAGCATTCCTACCCTAGTCCTAAAAGCCACAGTGACAAAACAGGGAATCTGTGTGCAGGCAAAATGTCATGTTCAACGTCTCATGACTCCCTGTTGAAATCCAGCTAGATTTTCAACAAGACAGCTACAAGGTGGCCCACATATATGCTCATCTTTTATATATAGAGTGAATGACAATGCTGAGGACCTATCCACATGGTTAGAAAACCATTAGATTTCTGCTACCTATCCTGGCTATGCCAGTTCCATGGCATATTCTTCTTTCTTTCCCTTCTAATTGTCCACTCAGGCACACATTCATACATTTAACAAATACTCACTAGGTAAGTATTTTGTGCCAGACACTGCTAGATATCAGGGATACAAACAAGAATGGACAGAATCTCTTCCTCTTAAAGCCAACAACAATGAAAAAATCGGCAGCCAGATTATTTTTGGGTTTGGGACAGACGGAGGGCAGGTGAATGGAAGTTAGACGTTGACAGCCACTACTCCAGCTGACTTTGACAAGCAATCACCTTCTCCAATTAGTTTCAAATTACAGCCAATCCAAAGAGCAGCCATCTACCCTTCCCTGAGTCTGTGTATGGTGGGGAAGGCGTGCAGAACCTGTCCAGTCACCTATGCTTACCTTTTGACACAAGATTCGATCATGTCACTTGCCATCAACTTCAGCCGTTGTTCCAGGTGCTTTCCAAACTCTTCTTCAGGCCAGTGCAAGTCCCGAATGAAGGTCTGAAGGGCGTCAAGTTTCCAAAACAGATCTTCTGAGGTGCCTGACCCATTACTGGCAGGATAAAAATTAGAAAATGAGAGTCACCCAATGGCCTCAGGCTCTACAAAAACGAACACAGAGACAACTGGGGGCTAGAAGGCAAACAGCAGCTTCAACATACAAAACAACGTGTGTTGGCGGTGAAGGCGGGGGCGAGTCTCCACCGGCAGATTTTGAGTTTTACCATACATGACTTAGTGCGCTTTGCTCAGCCAATTACCCCAGACCAGTGAGAAGTCTGGGGAAGGTGTTGCCCCGTAACAACCAGGAGAATGGTGTATGGTAAAAATCAGCCTTCTTTTAATAACCACATTAACACATGTGATGATTCAGATGAAGGCCACGAACCAGGGGGAGAAATAAGTCTCAACAGATAATAACTACATGGCAACATGCAGTTATTAAAATTCAGGGTTTCATGCATTTCCCCAGCTCCCCTCCAGAGTGGAGGCCTCTTGGAAATTGCACAAGACTTTTCGTTTTCAAAGGACAGTGCTAACAAAGTGGTGAGCGAGGACCTGCTTTCTCTCTTGAAGAGCTGGAAAGAAATTAGGGTGACTCAGATCAAGAGGGGTACACCTGGATACCTTGATTCCAAAATTCTAGATTAGTTTGGTTACTGTTCCAATTTTCATAGACCAGCCCATTGCATAGGCAGGGTCCTCACCAGGATGAGGTGAGTTGGGGCAGGGGAAGTTAGTGGACAAGTGATATTGTCAATGCTTTAGGGCTCAAAACCTGAGCTCTTTTACCATTGCACCATCTTACCCAGTCCTGTGTGCAGTTGGGGATATTGGTCTTGATGCCTTTCTGTACGATGACGTCTAAGAAACTTTTACCTTGGGCATCTACAAAAAGCCTGTGTATGAGAAATGCTCCATCTCTCACCCTCCTGCCCTTCTCTGGCTGGCTGTCTCTTTTGTAACAATCCCATTTGGAGCTCTGAGGGGTGTCCTTCCCCCCACCCACTTCCTCGCATACCACTAATGCTAACACAGTAATTTATAAAATGTCCAACACACCATGCATTACCACTTGTTCTGACATCGTCTATAGAAACAGATGAGAGTGGGTGTTTCTATTGTGACAGATGCCAGCTGCATTGAATTAATGCTTCAGAGAGAAATATAGCTAGTGCATAAATGCATACACAGCTACTGCAGGGCGGGGAGGGGGCACACGCCCAAACATGCTGAGAGGGAGCCTATGGCCTGGACCAACAGGGTAGTTTTCAAGGACAGACCAGTCTGAGGTCAGTACGTAGATGTATCTGACACGAAGGAGCAGGTAACATATCAACACGCCCTTAAAATGAAAGGTGGCAAAGGAAGAAACTGGAATTATGAAAAGATATAGAATCAGGCATTTCCTGGTGGGTGATTGAGAATCCACGCCTTCTTTTCAGATACTGCCGTAAGCATTGTTCAAAAGTGGGGGAATGTGTTGTTTCTCTGTGAAAGTTCAGCCTTCCCCCTACCCCAACCTATGTTTGGGAAAAAGAAACCCCAACTTTGTCTAGTCTAAGCCCCGTTTTGGAACTGCATGGTTGTATGTTTTAAATCATTAAGTACATATGAATGCAATAATTGGTATTTATTACAACAACATTTTGACACCCATCTGGTTTCAGAGTTTCAAAAAATTCTTGTAGGGTTTTTTTTTTTCTTTGAAGAGCTTATTATTAAGTTTTGACATGAGGAAAAGAATATTTTCTTTTTATTTTTAAGATAAACTGTTAATGTTAAGGCAATAGCACCAAGATTATTTTGATTGCTGAGCAGTTACCAAAATGTGTTCCCACTCATGCCTTAATTAATTGAACGGAGACCATTATCTGCTTTATTACAATGTCTTGATTCATATCTTTTCAAAAACAATGTCACAGAGCATGCACAGAGGAAGATAAGAGAAGCTTTCTGATATTTTTAAATTTTTCACAGATACTACCTAATCTAATTTTTTCATGTAGTCATCTTAGCATGAATATGATTTGTGTTCTTTTATGGATTTTTTTTTCAGATATAAATTTTTGGAGGTTTTAATTTGCCTTTAAAAGAGAATCAGACACATTGACCATAGATTTCATTGTGAACTTGTGAGCAATTGTAGGTTGTAAAAACATTAGGCAGTTTTGGAGGAGCCAGATAGAGCAGTCATTTTAATGGTCTGTCCTCCACCTGGATTACTGCAAAAATAAAAATGCTGAGGGCCGTCTTGATGAATGTGATTCTGAGATTTCAAAACATCACTGCCAGTTTCAGACCATTTTTTATTCCTTTGATAATAACACTTCCCTTTGAAAATGTGCCAATTTATTCTTTCAAGAAAAAGCTTATCTGGCCTATAATTAGCTGTGGTCTAAGAAAAGGATCAAAGAAGGGTACAGAATCGCTAACCCTTGTTTCACTTATTAAATCATGCAACGTGGTTCTAATTTCCCTGAGGTAGAATTTAGGGGTGCTCGATCTTCTTGCTAACCAAAAAAGCACAGAAGAGTCATTTCCGAAGCTAGAAGAAATGGCTTCTCAACCCTCACTCGCCCAAACTGCTGGCTTTCAAGAAGTTGCCCATGCAACTCTGACATTCATGTGGATGAGTATATCAGATGATATGGCTACCAAAAATTTAATTATTTGTTGTTTGAATCTTGTGTTTAGAGAATTATTGAACTTCTCATTACCTAGATCTCAAAGCACCATATTGTATTGTGACCTTGGAAAGTACATAATATATTTTTTACATAACATTTACATGACTAAGGCTTGATCCATTCAGAAATTTTCATTTAGCCCTGAACATACTGTTACTATATCCTGCCATTTGCTGACACCAGAAATATGCTTTATGGTTTAAACATTCTCTAGGAATTTTTTATTTTTATTTTAAAAAAAAAACACCCCAGATTCTAGGTAGGTGTGCTTCCTTCTTAGATTTGGATCAGGCCACAGATGACTGGCCAGCCCATCAAAGAGGTTTCCTCCACTATTTTTGGATGTCTAGCTCCTAAAGTCATGTCACCTGCCAAAAAGGGTAGAATCCTTTTGCAGAAGAATTCAGGAAGTGAAACATAGTCCTCCAGCATTCAGTGGGCGTAAGACAAATTGTTAGTGCTGTATATATAGCAAACATCTTACAAACATGATGTATGCCAGAAATAAACAATATTGTCTCTATATGATCAGCAAAATATGTCTAATTATCCATCTCCATCTCTGTTATATAGGATGTATAGAAATAAACAATACATATCCATGCCAAGATCACTTAAATTTAAATGAGATCTAATGTGAACTGAATACACACTCCGCATCATATATAGCAGCCATCCATGACGGTGCCGAAAAAGTAGGCATTTGTGGGATGCCTAGAGGGATGTTAACTGGTAGATTTGGTACTTTGGGAAGGTTCACATTGGGTAGGTTCACATTGGGTAGGTTACTGGTTAAACTCCTGTGGAAGAAACAGACAGAAAGAAAAAATACCATCACAGTGACAATGCAGATGTGGCAGAAGCACACGACAATTGTAAATAAATTGACCAAGTCCAGAGCAAGACAACAGCAAAAACTCAAGCGACACACTTCAGAAAGCAGCTTACAGATGGGAAGCTGTGGTGTGACTCTGTATCCAGAGAAATGACAAAAGTTAATGGAAAAAAAAATTAACCACACAGTGACTTAAAAGTGCGGACAGTTGCGGAGCACCCATACACAATGATCACATGCCTTTGGGAGGGGCCTTTGGTTTCCATATCCATTGCCATAAGAGTCTAGAACTTTTCTCATGCTAAGAACTTGAAGTTCCTGGAATTCTTGGTGTGGCTGGGGCTGGGGTTGCTGTGAAGTCACTGGGATTGATAGAAATGGTGGAGCGCTTCAATTTTCTTATTTTTAAAACAAATTATTGTTGATGGAGGCATATTTCTCAATCAGACATTAGATATCAAATAGAGTAGGAAGTTCACCCACATAGAGACACATATAATGGTGATGTACAGAAACCAAACTCCTTCCAACTGCTACTTCTAAAGACAGGTATATGGGCAATGAGGTGTCAGTTGATGGTGAAATTACAAAATTGTATCAAGAAGAAGGATCAGATTTGAATAATTTTATAGAACATTTAAAGAAAATAGAAACTGTCTCTCCCAAACTAAGTTCAATAAAAATGCAGGAATGTTTATACACAGAAACAGAAACCAAGGAAATGAAAACAATCCCCAATTCAGCTCTTGTATTAGACTCTTTGACCAAAAGTGGATGTAAACTGTGGCTTTATATCATAACAGTTACCCTTGGAAGTGGGACAGGGACTGGGAGAAGGCATGACAGGGACTTCTGGAGAGGTTCTGCTTTTTGATCTGTGTGATAGCTTACACGGGTGTGTGTTCAATTTGTGAAAATTAATCAAGTTGTGTATTTTTCTGTAAAAAGTTAAAATAAGTTAAAAGTGACTAAAAAGTTAAAAATATTACCTCGTATCAGCCTTTTGTTTTTGGACAAAGATGGATCAACTGATGTGATGGAAGAGAGATGGACGGTTTTGTAAGTAGAGGGAGAAAATAAAACAAAACAAAACCCCCAATTTGAATCAACTGTATTTCTTTGGAAGGACTGTGTCATACACGGCTCCACAGGCTGGCACCGTGTGTCTCAGTAGTGGCATTTTAAGGGTGTTCCATCCAGCCAAAGTCACTGGCACGGTAGAGCCCAGCCTAACTCTGCATCTGAGAGGAGCCTTCCTGTTTAAGTGAAGTTGACAGCACTTTGGCAAAGGACTTGAGGTTCTCTTTTTGGATCTTGCAGGAGAAGAGCAAGTTTTGCCAAAGCAGCTCTGCCCTGGGCAAGCTGTGTTTGACTAACAGGACTCCTGCAAGAGCTGGAGCTGCCTCTGGGCTTGCTTGGGTGGGGAAGTGGGGGAGTAGGGGAGTAGGGGAGTGTGGGAGTTGAGGAATGGGGAAGTTGGGGGGTGGGGGAGTGGGGGTGGGTACATGCCTTCTGCTAAGTCAGAAATTCTGGACCTTGAAGATCACCTGAACGCCTGTCTCCCTCTAGAAACAAATTGTTCTTTCACAATGGCAATATAGCTCTGGCTCATAGACTGAAAAACCTAGAATGTGAAATTGTCTACCTGGAATTCTCTTCCGTAATCAAAACAGGTGTCTCATAGATTCGTCCTTTACACCTCACGCTTTGGGAAAGCCAATTATACATCTCTACTTGAAACTAAACGGTGCTCTTGTGGGAATGGTCAAGAAAAGATTAACTATATGACTATTAAATAGAAAGGAAAATGGAACTTTTCCTTTTATGTGTCTCTGTTTAACTGGGGAATTTGCCTTTGAATTCAGTCCCTGGTGGCTCTCAGTCTTAAACACTGCCATGTAACAAAACCGTTGGCGATTTCCACTGAGACATGTGTAAGCCTATATAAGCAAATGTGATCATTAAATGATACACACACTGAATAATGATCAAGGAATTAGAAGATCTTAGAGATGGCAGCCTGGAAAGTTAAAATGTCAATTCTGAGCAAATTAAAAGTAGCTAGGAGTGAATAACATACAAACGTATGCAAAAGCAATTTAATTTAAACATATTAGCGGGTGGCGGGTACACAAATTAGAAGCGAGCTTCATTTTGCACATGAAAATTAAAAAAAAACTTCTATTAATCAAAACATATTGTATTTGTAAAATATGACATTTCAGCTGGACTACTGCACTGGACTCATAGAAACATTTCCTTCATGTGACATTTTATAATGCTCTACTTTCAAAAGGATGAAACATGCTTGATATTTCTGCTCTTAGAAAAATAATGTAGTGTATTACTAGTGTTACTAATACTTCATTTGGATATTAACATAAATAATCAAGGAGGTAATTCTAAGCATAATATTTTACTAATATACATGTGAAAAGGGGGAATTTTCAAGTAGCACTTAGTTCCAATGAGGCTCCTGGAACTGCTGATGACTATAATGAATTATTACTTTAAAGAGGGCTCTTTTAGCAGCTACCTTAAAACAAGTTAGTCATGCATCTCTGAGAGAATCATAATTGGATATCTCTGGATAGTACAAGGAGTATGAATTGCAATCCTAACAACTTATATGCATTAAAATTTACACTCTTTCATTCGTTTTGGGGACTCTTGAAAAAGAACAGCTTCCATTTAGGCCAAAGTGCCCATCCGTGGATGGTTTAGAAACATTCTCATCTACTCATTCTTACATGGATGAATGTCACAGATGTGTGCACGTCTCATCACTTCTATGGATGGAAATGAGTGGAGGTGAAGTCATTCCTGCTTCTAGAATTGATTCTAATCAAGACACTGACTCCATGCAGAAGGGATGTTGTTGTGTCTTTCTCAAAGATTTCGACTTTAGATTTATGGATTGGGTTGGGTTTAAGACACGAAATGCCTTCTACTTTTATGAATCAGTTGTTGCATGCATATATGCAGTACATCTTGTCTTTTCTTAGTGCTCTGAGGACTGAAGCCTCTGTCAGTATTTGTTCTTAGGTCCAATGCCTGCTTTGGGGCAGGAGCACTCTCTAATATCTTCCTAGAATCTAGAGCAGTATTTTACAATCTCTTACTCATTATCATCCTGCCTCACAACTTCCTTCTCCATGAAAATTTAATACCACAGATATATAGAATATCTGTTTATGTACTATATGTAGATCTGTGCTTTATATGTAAAAAGAGTAAGATGTTTTTAAGCCCCGCCCTCTTGCCCGAGTCAATTTTCACCAATTTATGGGCTGTAAAGCCCCCATTGAGAATGTATCATCTACAGAAAAAAATTTCAGACTTCATGGGACTTTAGAATCTCCCAAACATCTCTCCAACTTTATGGCTTGCCTTTGTTATAATCCATGCTGGCAAAAACTCAGCGTTTGCATGCTCTGCCTCCCTCGTATTTCTACCTTTGGACATCCTCTTTCCCAGCATTCCTACCCCTTTTGAAATCTTGCCCTCAAGCTATGTTTTCCATGACCCCTTAGTGGAAATTGATTCCCCTCTACTCTTGTGTCCTCATAACTTTTCCTTATGGTATTTGTAAATTTGTACATTGGCAAATAAAGTCATTTTTCTTTTTTCATAATTTTGACATTTCATAAAGTCATTTTTCTTGTGTGTAAGTTGCTCAGACCCAGCTAGATTGAGACCCTCATCTGGGGAAACATCCCCATAGTTTTCCCATTACATCCTTATAATTTTCAGCCTGTGTGGGTTCTTTAACAAATATGGCAATTAATCAACAAACATTTATTGAGTACCTGTTATGTTCCAGGCCTTGTAGGTATTAGGGAGGCAATGATGATCAAATGTGTATATGTGTCTGAATATGGAGAGTGATATTTTCAGGAATGTTAGCTTTGGAAAAGCTTTGGTTATTCAAAGTCCTTGTTTGACAAAGTAGGACACTGAACCCCAGGGAGGTGAACTGAGGGAGGATCTCAACCCAGAAAACTTGGTGGTCCAAGATCACCCAGCAAATTATTGGCAGAATCGTGAGATCTGACACCAAGTACATTACTTGTCTATTTGACACCAGGCCACCTGCATATTGCTAAGGTGTCTTTGGTTTGATTGTTTATTATCAGTAAGATGATTGATATGCTAATATGTTTCACCATAGTAACAATTTTACTACATATGTCTCTTATGGCATTTTGTTTTATATCTTAAATATATACAATAAAACTTATTTTCAAAAAAGATATTGATGGCCGGGTGTGGTGGCTCACGCCTGCAATCCCAGCACTTTGGTAGGTCAAGGCTGGTGGATCACGAGGTCAGGAGATCGAGACCATCCTAGCTAACATGGTGAAACCCCGTCTCCACTAAAAATACAAAAAATTAGCCAGGCATGGTGGCGGGCACCTGTAGTCCCAGCTACTCCGGAGGCTGAGGCAGGAGAATGGCATGAACCCAGGAGGCAGAGCTTGCAGTGAGCTGAGGTCCAGCCACTGCACTCCAACCTGGGCGACAGAGTGAGACTCTGTCTCAAAAAAAAAAAAAAAAAAAAAAAAGATATTGACATCTATGACTATTTGGAAAGTGACATTTAAAAATACTTTTTGTATGCATATCTGAGGCAGAGTGAGAAAGTGCATTTTGAGAAATGAGAATCTTGGATTTTACAGTGTACATATATTAAGAAGCAGTGTTTAATTCTACCATTCAGAGCTGATGCAGGGCAAGTAAGCCCCAAAGTAGTGCTTAGCCCATGAGGGTTCTTGGCTTCACCCAGGAGAGAATTTAAGGGTGAGCTGATATTATTGAAGTGGTAGAGTAAAAACTCCGGTGGTATTACAGTGCTGTGACTGCTCCTGCAGAGTAGGGCTTTCCCACAGGCAGTGTGCTTAGAGTAGCAGCTCAGGGCAGTTGTGTAGTCATATTTACACATGCTGTTAATTACATGTAGATTAAGGAGAGGTTTATGTAAGATATTTCTAGGCAAAGGGTAGTAACATCTGGGTCATCAGGTCATTGACATGGAAATGAGCGGTAACTCCATGGCAATGGTAAACTGACATGGCACACTGGTGGGCATGTCTTATGGAAAGCCACTTTTGCCCCATCCTTGTTTTACTAGTTCTCAATTTGGTCTGGTTTCTGAACGCCACGTCCAGAGTTAAGTCCTTGCTCTTACCACAGGGCAGTCCTAACCTGAAGTGGACAACCATGTAGCCAGGGATTCCCCATGCTTGGAGGTGTTTAAGTAAAGATTGAGTGACCATCTGTCAGGGAAAAGGTAGTAGGCAAGGGTGGCGGAGGTACTAGACTCGGTAAGACTTTGAATGAGTTGCTTTCTGGGTTTTCTTTCCTACTGAAGGCCACCATGGCTTATTACCAATGAGCTAACACTGAAGAGTTGATGGAAATGTCCATTTCTCATTAGGACCAAAACCTCTTATTCACAGCTGCCAGAAGGATTGTGAGCAACCTGCCCAACTGTGAGTGGTGACCCTACTACATGTCCAGGTGGAAACCAATGAGAGGGCCATGGGCTCCAGATTTTATTGACAACTTGGGACTGTCTTTGAGAAGCTGACTATCTTCAGCTGTGGTTAGAAGCAATGAGATGACATTTTCCACCAATTCATAGAGATTCTAACCATGACTGTGTCTGGCTCAATGGAAACAGAGATGTAGCCTCCCTTTTCTCTTTTTGAAGAGGTGGAAGACTGTCTTTTTAGGGAAAGGCTGCCATAGGACTCAGCCATTTTACCCTTTCCATCAAATAACTTCAATTATTTTTGTTGTTGTTGTTTTTGTTATTCATCTTAAATAACCTCAATTGTAACAAGCTTAAATGATGATATCTCTATTTTCTTTTACAGGGCCATATTTTGAAATAAGCAAATCTGAAGGATAAAGAATATGTTTAATTCCCTTTTTAGCAAACTCAATACATCAGTAGTATTTTCTTGTCAGATTGCTACTTTTCTTCAGTATTTTGAATGCTAGTTATTTTGAAGTAAACATCATAATGCATTTCTCATTTTACTTATAACCAGGTGCTTATAAATTTTGAAAAGTAGAAGAACAGAACTATTTGAGGATAACAATTGTTTGAAAGAAAGGCTCTGTGTGTGTATGTATGTGTGTATTGGAAGATTATGTGGCAAAAATGGAAAACACTGAGCAAACTAAATCTATTTACCTAAGTTAGTTTCTTGTTTTGGGGTGAGCTTGATGAGAAGTATGCCAAAAAGATCATTCTTCACTTGGAAAAAAAATCCAAGGAGAGAAACGAATCTGCTTCTTCATCAACCCACCAATAAGTAGTCAGATGGAAGTTCACATTTTATTTCTATTCACATCGTAGGAAGCATAGAGAGACTCACTCCTCTTAGCACACAGCATGTCTCCAAGCTCTTTTTTACACTCCGTTTTATTCCATTCTGCAAAGCTGTCCCATGGCATCCATACTCTGTTTAAAAATCGGCTGATACAATGTGTGTGGTAGCCTATATTTTAGTTAGCACTGTTTTCGTTTGTTTGTTTTTGTTTTTGTTTTTTTTGTTTTTTGTTTTTTGTTTTTTTTTTTTTGTTTTTGTAAAAATACAAGTAGGGTCTCACTCTATCACCCCAGGCTGGAGTACAGTGGCAGGATCATGGCTCATTGCAACCTTGAACTCCTGGGCTCGAGCAATCCTCCCACCTCAACCTCCTGAGTAGCTTGGACTACATGCTGCGCCACCATGCCTGGCTACTTTTTTTTATTTTGTAGAGATGAAGTCTGGTTACGTTGCCCAGGCTGGTCTTGAACTCCTGGCCTCAAGTGATCCTCTCGCCTTGGCCCCACAAAGTGTTGGGATTACAAGTGTGAACCACCACACCCAGCCCTTAGTTGGCACTTTAAAAGATCTCCACGTACTCTGAAAGGCATACACTATTTAGCATGAATTAAACAAACCACAATCATATTCACTAACAGCACAATTTTGGATAGCAAAAAGCTACTAAAAACACACACACACATCTGCATAATTCTCAGGTTATTATTCACAACTATTATTTCTTTATTCACAATTTGCAGACCTTTAAATTGCCCATGCAAGGGTTCAAATTTTATTTTTTTAATTGGTAAAAAAATTCCCAAGAAAGCATTCCTAGACTAAGACTTGCAGGTATGAAGATGATTTTGAATCTATCTTTATTTCTGATAATATTAAGAATATTTAATGCCCCCAAAGAAGTAGCATTCCTGTGTTTAACTTTTTTTTCTTTCTTTCTTTTTTTTTTTTTTTCCTGAGATGGAGTCTCGCTCTGTCACCCAGGCTGGAGTGCAGTGGAGTGATCTTGGCTCACTGCAACCTCCGACTCCTGGGTTCATTCCATTCTCCTGCCTCAGCCTCCTGAGTAGCTGGGACTACAGGTGCCTGCCACCACACCCGGCTAATTTTTTGTATTTTTAGTAGAGACGGGGTTTCACCGTATTAGCCAGGATGATCTCCATCTCCTGGCCTTGTGATCCGCCCACCTGGGCCTCCCAAAGTGCTAGGATTACAGGCATGAGTCACTGCACCCGGCCGTGTTTGACTTTTAAGAAATTAAACAGATTATAAAATGACTTAGTGACATTATCACAAGGTTTTACGACAATTCTCAGACACCGGATAGGTACATTTTGAAAACTTCAGTTTTGCAGGGGAGCAAACAAGTTCATAGCGATTTGAACCCTTGACTTCTGGCTAGTAAATGGAAGACGGGGCACTAAACCTAGGGCTCTTGAAGGAATAGTGAAGGATACCAATCGTTCTCTTCCATGTATTACTAGTAATAGTCTCTGTATTTAAATGCAAGTAAGTAAATGTTATTTCAAGACCACTGTTATTTTAAAATGTAAATTTTACTCATTTTAACCTTTTCCTCTTAATAGCTATTCTCCAGCACAACTGTCTTGATTGTATTGAACATTAAAAAAAAAAATAGAGTCTCTCATTAATAACTTTCCATCAAGGGACCCAGTTCTATCCTCATGAGTTAAAAGTCAGTAGGGCCATATTCAGAGACTATTATAAACTGAAGAATAACAAACTAAAATTTAAATTTCTTGGTATTCACAAAGGAAGAGCTACTGGTTATTAACCTCCTCTCAATAGGGAAACTTCTCTTGTGGCTCAGATGTGGAAGGGGGGCAGAAAAGCCTATTTTGCATCAATTTATCAGTGAGAGCCTTATACAGTGTAACATTAGAGGAGGGTCTCAGTTCAGAAAACTGCCTTAAAATAGGCTACAAGTCAGCGCTTCCAAACTGAGGAAAGGCCTCATGAATATTTGTTCTGGAGTTCCTAAAATGTGCTTGTAACATCCCTCTACTTTACTCCATACTGTTTGCTGCATCCCAAAGATGTAAAAGACTAGCATGAACAAAATGATTTCCTTAAAAAAAAAAAAAAAAAGGAAGGAAACTAATAGGGCAAATCCAACACTAGGCTTTACTGGAGCTTTTCAAACCATCAAACCATAACCACCAAACTCTCCATATAGGAGTCTCTGGTTTTTCAGAAAGGGGAGTCTGAGACTGACCCTCTGGAGCCTCAAGTCAAGCCCTCTTCCCATATGGGGAATGGAGATGGCACCAAGCCTGCCAAACATTTTCAAATAAGACCTAAAATTTGCCAAGCATTTGTGGAAATTGACAAACTTGCAACCCACAAGATTTCCCATAATTTATCCTGCAGGGTATATGTCCCATTTTTAAAAAAGCACACTGTGGTCAAATACTTTTAGGAAAATCTGGGTTAAACAGAGTTACACAAAATTCTAGGTCAGTGGAGTAGGTATTGTTTCCTAAACATACTTGGCCATAAAGGTTTTTTTAAAAGGTGCATCTAAAAGGCCTAGACCAGGGAATGGCAAACTACGAACCTGTTTTGTTAACAAAGTTTCATTGGAACACAGCTACCCTCATTCTTTTACATACTGTCTATGACTGTTTTCATGCTTTCACACTACAATGACAGAGTTGAGTTGTGACAGAGATCATGCGGCTCCAAAAGCCTAAGTATATATTATACGGCCTTTTGTAGAAAAAGTTTGCTGACCTCCCTGCCTAGACCCCTACCGAACACACTTTGGGAAACACTGATTCCTAGAGATAACACGATTAGAGTAAGACATACCACACAAATATCACAGCCAAGTTTATATTCTTTCTTCCTTATTTATCTTGTGCAATAAGAGATTTCATTTCATAAAACATTTTTTCAACCTCTTCCTGCACCCTGCCCACCTCCTCCATCCCCCACCCTCTTGCCATTTGGGCAAGGAAGCTATGAGCATCATAGTAGAAGAAATGTATGGTGTTTCTCTCTGTCTGTACTGACAATGAAACCCATATGACATCATTAATCCATTTCTGTATTACTCTCTAGCCATTTGTACCCAAACTCCGATGGTATCAAAAAAGGTTTCCTTACTTGACTGGTTCCCATGACTCCCGCTCAAAGCCCCTGTGAATGGATTGTGCAATTGAGGACTCCATCAGATCCACATATCTAACAACAAGTGGGGCAAACAGGTCTTGCAGGTGTTTGTGAAATTTTCCATTGCGCAAATTATCTAGGACAGATAAGCAAAAGCTTGTTAAGAACCCACAGCTACTTTATCAATGTACGACACACACATACAGAAGATTGATTGTCTTCTACATTAAATATACTGCTTCTAAGGAAGCCAAAAAGAGAAGAGAAGGAAAAAAGTACATAAAAACATTGAAATGGAATTCAAAAAACTTTACCCCTTGGTAAAAGCAAAAACGATCACGCTACTTTAAGAAACAACAAAAACAACAATTCACACCATTTTTTTTTCTGTTTTCCTTGCACCCACTTCCCTTCCTCCCGTAAAGTTACTAGGAAGAAAGAACATTCTTTATACTCTGCCCTCCTTCATCACCCTCTCTGGGGAGGAAGGTCTATTTTATGGCTGTTGTTGCTATAACATAGTTCTGAAATGCTTGACATGTTATTCAGCTGGATTTTTTTTTTCATCTAGAAAGCATCTTTTGATAAAAATTGCAAAATATGAAGAGGTTAATTAATTTGAGAGTCAATAAAATATACAAAAAATGGATGCCTCTTCTCACGTTACTCTCAGGTTATTCTGTCTAGTTAAGAGAGAGCTTCCCTAGAACAGGACACTTTTTGGAAGAAAGGGAATATCCTTCAGATGTATGTTTCTTTTTTGGGGTGGGGGGTTAACAATAATAAAACCATGAAGAGCTATGTCAAGCCTGTAGTCTGCTTGGGATAAAGACATCTTAGCAATTGGTTTATCTGCACACTACTTAGGAAAGTCAAATAGTCAAAGATAATACATACAGTCAGTACGGAGAAAATCATTCAGCAGCTGAAACAGTGGAAAACTGTCCCATGTATCTGGAGGTTGCACCTCTAAGGCTGCATCCATGTCTACTGCAAAGAGTGACAGGAACGTCTCTGCATGCTCCACCATTAAATCTGACCACCACGCAAAGGCCTTTGAAATTTGGCAGAAAAACAACAGACAAAGAGGTGATGAGTTTCTTTCTCGGACATAAGATGTGAACTCTAGCCCTCACTGTTCAAAATTAATGGTGCATCCAGCAGGGTTTGGTAATTTTATTGTAAAGAGAACAGAATTTTTGATACAATTTGGGCGCTAAGTGTCTAAGGCAGTGCTTTGCGTGATTCCAGGCCTGCCATAGAGAGCCTTTATTCTGACCTGTGGGTCAGAGGATGCTGCAGTAGAAATGACAGACGTGGAATATCTGTTCAATTTACAATAACTCAGTACGTTTTGAGTCATGCTCTTTGTCATTGCTGTTGGCTAGTTCTTGCTCTAAGGTATTAAAATCTGGGAGTTTCTTCACTGTGTTTATGGGTTTTCTGCTGGTCTAACTTGAAAATTTGCAATTATTGTTCACTTATATCTACATATCTGGGGCTTGTCTATGGTCTCATACAAAAACTCAAGAACTCACGTTTCCTATACATTGGAAATGTTACTCCTATTTCATACTAAGTCAAAGAAAACCATTGTTGCAATTGTCACAAAACTTTTGAGTTGAAATCTTTTAAAGCAAGGAGCCTTTGGTTTTGTATCCAGTCTGGAGGAAAGATCAGGCTTAGGCTAGAAAACACTGAGTAAGATCAGGACTTATTTTTCTGGGGGTTGGAGACATATGTACATTGAAAACCAAAAAATATCAGTGAAGTAACTCATTTTCATGCACATGGGCCCTTGGAAATCATTGTGCGGGGTCTCAGGGGGTGACATTCACATCAGACTGAGCCAGATGTGAATTCAATTCAAAGGCATGCATGCATGTTGACTAATCATTTCTGGCAGGGAGCATGCAGAATGAGTGGCAGTGTCAACAGGCCCTGTTTTGCCGATTTCAAAGAGAGCAGAAAAACAAAAACAAATTGCCAGCCCCTTCTGGTCCCCCACATCCCCATTCAATGCCGCAAAGTATTTACATTGGAAACACTTTCCGGAGCATTCACCAAAAAAAGATGGGAAGGCATTTGAAAATATGAAAGATGATTATGGAAATAATTCCATAAATGATAGGGTTTGTTCAATGACCAAGCTCTTTTGTGATCTATTAGTTATTAGAGGGATATTCTAACAGCCACTAGGAGGCAGAATAGGGGTCCACCTCTCTTCTTTCACCAGATTTCACTTTACTTACTTCTCCTTTATCAACATGTGGCTGGTTTGCAAATTAAATGAAAAAAATCAAGTCATGGACCATTCTGCAAGGTTGGCTTGGTTGGAAATAGACACCTGCTGTTTCCATTTTAATTTACAGTAAAACCTCACTGATTCAGAGTAATGTGAGAGGGGAGATGCTGGCCTGTCAGCAGAAAAAGCCTAACTTATTGGACTTTCTAAAAAGAGATATCCTTTTACTGTTTTTGAATGTAGCCTATAATTGGACACTAAAGTAAAAAGTACTCATTAAGTCTACATTAGTTATTAATGCATCATAAGTGTAAAAGTTTTTTATAGGTAAGTTGACTTATAAATTGAAGTCAAAGAAACAGTAGATTTAATTTCATAGATCCTAAGATGGAAAAAGGGTATTGGATTCCTCTAACTTGTAAGAAGAGTCATTAGAATTTCCTGAGAAAGTTGAGATCAAGTCAAATATATTACATAAGAAAAATTAAAAGAGTCACATCTGCAATTGAATTGTCACAGATTCCAATATTTGAGTCTGAACCGATGAGGTTTTATTGTAGTTTTACCACCTGCAGATGAGAGCCCTGGGGTTTAGGGCTTACTCCACTGACTACCTAGCTAAGTCCAGTAGATAAAGTAGCCCTCCATGCCACCCCCAGAACTTTCCCAGCCACCAGTCTTTTAGGCAGAGACCATCTAAATCCTGGAACTTGCTGGATGAAGTTCCATCTCCACCCCTATGTGGAAGGCTGATTCTCATCAATCCTGATTCCAGATATTTGAAAAATTCACATAGTTACACAAAATGTTGGCTAGTACTTATTCTTTAGTTATTCAATTAACTTTTACATCTTCAGGATGAGTCCAAGAAAAGTTACTGGGAAGATTGAGTTGCCTCCCCAGACATGATTTGCCCTAGAATGACAGGAAAAAACAAAACAAAACAAAAAAACAAAGCTCGAATGTTTGAAATTAAAAGTTTCTTAAGTTTCTTAACCCAATCTCATATCTGGCTCTCATCAGCAATTTTTTTTTTTTTTTTTTTTTTTTTTTTTTTTTTTTTTTTTT